CAGCGTGTGTGTGTATACCTTTGTGGGGTGTCTGTTAGCACCGACCGCGTTCGTGTGTGTTGTCGTGGCGTCACATCGGTGGGGACGGCGGGAGCTCCCGTAGCAAGCACGGTTGGACGGAAGTGGCGGTCGCAGGGCAGAAAGGGGGTAGTACACCGTAACTACCACCAAGTAGAACTATTAATAGTGTAAACTGTGGATAGATAGGTAAAAGGTTGTACAGACGCCTCTTGTCATTTTTGAGGGTCACATCTAGGGCTCCTTCCTTCCCACCCCCCTTTCGGAACGAAATAATAGTATTTGGGTGAGTTTGGCGGACGGGAAGGCGGGCGTCGTTTGCAACGGCCTTCTTCCTGATTGCGTGGTATCCATACAGAAGTAGGCCAGCCAGCCGCGGATCACGGGGCCCGGACAGAAGAATCGCTTTTCGTGTCAAGCTCGCAAGGTTTAAGCTCCGGCGCGTGGCGTGGTACATTAGCGTCGGGATTGGTTTGACTCGGTGTGCGCTGTGTACCGTGAGACATCGTTCTCTGCGTTGTTGCTCTGGACGTAAATTTCTATGTACTCGCCTCCATGTTTTATGTTTTCGCCCTCGAGAGGGGGGAGGGGGGGGGCACTTCGTGTTTCGTGTGTGAAGAAAAGTTACGTTTCGGGGAGATCGGCTTGTGATGACGGGGTCTCACCTCCTCACCCTGAAGGATACTGAAGAGGATATATATGTAGTATGTACTCGACCGCTGCAGCAGAAGCAGCCCCCCCCTTTTTTCTTTCTGCGAGGATGCAACCATTGACTTGTGTCTGCGTGGCTGGCCTCGCGTGTCGAGAGTGAGCAATGTCTCGCTCTGTGTACCGATCTATTTGGCTTGTTCGAGATCTCCTATGCCCGTTATTTCACCTGCTGTTGCCAAGCCTGTCTATTTCGGGATTGGTTCTCTCCTCCTATGGTGTAGTTTTGTTTCTGGGTCCTGCTGCTGCACATTTTTTTTTTTTTCGTGTACTTGTTTTTGGCATCATTTTATTAGTTGGACCAGTAATGGTGTTTGAAGGGAGACCAATACTGCGCAGAAATAGTACTAATGGGCGTTTTCACAGTCAAGACAACAACAACGACGACGAGGACGATGGCGCACAGCTTTGGCGAGCGCCCCCGCGGCAACACCGAAAGTTAATTCTGACGCGCGGGTGTCAAGTCAAACGTTTTCATGACGGAACAACAACAACGCAAACACACTCGAAAAAAGCACGGTCTCATCGCCGCAGCTTGGGAGTGAGCGAGCGCAGTCGTTGCATCTTGCGCGTTGCAACGATCTTCTTCTAGCAGCAACAGGATATTATATACACTCGGCCGATGCACAGTGGATCGAAAGCGGGTACTCGCCTGAACAATCGGAACATGGTGTGGTGACTCACACAAGCATGCACAACACGCACACATCTATTTAGCATGCCGTGTGTACTTCAAGAAAAAGAGAAGATACTGATGGTCGTCATGAAAGAAATGCTTTGAAATAAGTGCCAGCTCCTCGATTCCCACAACCAACCTATGCATAGCAGCCCCCATAAAAAACGGCCGCCAGTAGTAAACAACCCCGCCCCGCATCACGCCTTAATCCGCATGGGCTCCACGCCCAGCGCCGTGCTTGATTTTCCCGCCATCCCCGACAAACAACCACCAGCTCCCCACTACTTGCGTTCAACACGGGACCCTAAACCACGCCTGCCTACATATCTACAAAAACTCTTCATGTACGTACATGCTTGAATGCCGTCGCCGATAGGGCTGTCTACTCGACGGGTGGTGCCTATCCTCCTACGAGGTAGTAGATTCGACGGCAGCAGCAGTGTAGCAGAGAGAGAAAGAAACCTAAACCTGAAGAAACGTTTTCCTCGCAACTGCTGTTCGAACTACGCCCAGCAACTTCCGCCTTCAAATCCAGAAACCACACATAGTCTCGAGGTGTTCTCGGTGGTGTTCCTTGATCATGCCGTCTTCCGACATGCAGGATAAATGCCTGCCTACTGTTCCCTTGTCGTCAAAGCAACTCCTGGGGAGGATGGAGACGCAATCTGACTGGCCCCAACACCTTCCGAAAGACGGGGCTGCCACCGTTAGCACAACACGAAAAAGTCCACTCGGAATCAATCGGCAACACCGTGCCCTTGTGGTACGTCCCTGCACTACAAACTGCAGTCAGTGAGGCTCGAGACCGTACAAGGCTTGCCACGCGAGTAACGTCGACGCCTCATGGTCGTGCCGTGCTAAGCACGAAACGAAACATCAGAGGTAGGGGGGCACCGCGAATTCGTGCTGGCAAATGTCACTGGACCGACACAGGTCCGCCATGTTGAGTTCATCCTGTGGGCGACCGACCACAACGGCCTCCTCGTCCTCCTCCTCCTCCTGGAAAGGCTGCTACTATGGTGTAAATGGGTTCAGTTCATCTTCTCCATGAGCATCATGGCCTCCTTGTGCACCTGGAACTCCTCCATCTCCGCGCTGTTGTAGAACCGTGACACCACGCTCACCTGTTGCAGGTCGAGGGGGGGGGGGGGGGAAACTACCACTTAGGATAAAAAATCCTCGATTGATGCTCATCTAGGGTACAAGGTGGGGTACATAATCCATCTTTGGCTGCAATAAATGTATGCATGTATGCCTGTTCTCAAAAGTAAAGGAGAGCAGCACCCTACATTTCTACTTGCTTGTGTTCACGAGAAGCGTGCGGGGCGGCGAAGGCTGTCGTTCCCTCGTCATTCTTCCCAAGTACTTCACTCGCTGCCACTACTGTTCCTCGATGTAGCTCGTCGGATCATCCCGCCTTCCGTACGCACCAGAGAGTAAAAAAGGGCCTGCGGCCCTGCGGGGTCGCAGATTTTTTGTCGAAAATATGCTCTCAGCGCAGCATCCCCGGGGGGAAGTCTGCGGCTTGCCGCAGGAAACAAGTTTGGGCCGCATCTTTCGCCGCAGGCGAAAATAATTTTATGCGGCCCTTTTCTTTCGCCGGAGGTGAAATGTTTTTCGTGGGGGCTCTTTGTGCTGGAAAGAGACATATCCTGCCATTAAAACACCTCAAACACACGATAATTGACACTTCAACGCTATTTTTGGTTGATTTTTATACGGAAAAGCCCAATTTTTTCGCTCCGCGGGCTCTGGGAGGGCCCTGCGCGGGCGGCGCCCTCCGGGAGTACCGCTACAATCGAGAATGACTTTGGGCGCACCATGGTGTTGAACATCCCCGCGCCCTGGGCCATGTCCCGCAGCGGTAGCGGGGTGTGCATGGCGAGCGCCCAGAGGAGCTGAAACGTCTGCTTGAGGAGTTCAACCCTATCTCTGTCTTCGTGCGGGTCACTTCCCTTGGGGGCGGCCTGGGAAGTACAAACCAGGCGTGGGGTAAGAATGTGGCAACGGAACGGCGAAGAGTGCTGGCGTTCAAAGAAACACAAGCCAGAAAGCATTGCCACAGCGCGTGTCGGCCTTCCACCCCCAAAAAATAAGCAAGCGGTCAGACGAAAATATACGAAAAAGAAAAAAAAAAAAAACACACACACGCACACACGACAGAAACACACCAGCAACCCCGCATCGACGCAAAAAAAACTAAAAGGATGCTCGAAACATCGCTTCTCGCTGAGAGCTACACAATCGACGTTTGTATCCTCGGCAGGAAGGTTTCAACGACGAGGCCGAAAAACAAGGGGGGGGGGGGGGGCGTTCTTGCCAAACAACGGCTCCCCTTTCCGACACGCACCTCCGAGTATCTTCTCCTCTCCCAGTCCTCGAGTTCCAGCCGGACGAAGTCCACGAGGGCGGGGATCAACTCACGCACCTCCTCCTCCTCCCCCCCACCCCCTCCCCGTAACGACGAACGGCCGCCACCGCCACCCTCCGCTTCGTCTCCGACACGAAAGCCGTCCGCTCCGAACAAGGATCGAGCGGCCTCCTCGCCGTAGGCCTGGCAGGCGCTGAACACGAGCTTGATGACCGACAGTCGAAGCCCGACGTCCTGTACAAGGGGGGGGGGGGGGGGGGGGGGGGGGGACTCCTAAACGGGGGGGCCGGAATCCTTAAAACATTTACCCCCCCTCCCTACAAAACCGGGGAGGAGCACGCCGGGGTTTCCCCGGAACCGGATCTCCCATCCCCCAACGCGAAACACCCTGGGGGATTTTGGGAGGCCCAAGAAGGGGGAGCCGCCTCCCGGTAAAGGGGTTCGGGATCTTTTGGTTTATTTCTTGGGGACGGGTGAAAGCCACCTATGAATTAATTTTTTTTTTGGGGGTTCCCCCCCCCAAAAAAGTTGTAAACCCTGTGTAAATGCCCCCAGGG